AAACTTTATAATGTCCTTATGTAGGACAATATTTTTAAAACGGGAATTTTAGAAACCGTCCGTTCAGCGTGCTGTTATCGCATGTAAATCTGATCATAATTAATTATTTATTTTCTAAATCGAATCAAGATGCACAGTTTGCATGCTAATGGTTCTTTCTAAGATACTGTGAAATTATGACCTAGCTCAAAAGCACGCGATTAGAGAAATGTCGCAGAACTGTTGCCGGGTGCGCTATACCTATCGCTACATTGCTTGTTCGCAAAATGAGAACAGTTTTTCTCGACAAAATAATTATCCACTGTACAATCGTGGTAAAATGTATGATACTTTCTTTTTCATCTCGTGTTAGAGTATCGTTACAGTGCAATCGAATAATATATTTTTGATTCACACCAAATATGATCGAGTTGATTCGACGGCTGAGCAAGTAACGGAGTTCATGTGCCTTTTTCAGCAAACCATCTGTTGTCAGAAGAACACTCGTCCAAAAATGATTCATACGATACAAAAAATTGATTAGGCAGTTTTTATGTATGTATGCACTTAAGATTCGTATAGACGGTAAGTTTTGACAAACTAGAGAGTGATTGTAACACAAACTGAAGATTAATGAAGTCAACGAACCTATTCGTTTAAAAAAGTTTTATTTGATAGAGAAATTACTGCAAGTGAAAAGTTTACCACTTGCTCAGAATTTCTCTATTATTTGCCTCAAACCTCATAACTATGTTTGACGTATTAAAACTTTGATACCTGAGCCGAATAAGATCCCGACCGCAGAGTGAAACGCTCAAACGCCGCATAATTTTTTTTCGTATTGCAAAATATTATGAAATCTGCTGTTTTTAGTTTATTTTTTTTTATCACTTATCAAATAGAACTACTTAAGTCAATAAAAATATCACAATTTTTTACGAAAATTGATATGAGGTCCAGGCGCGTGATTCAATAGAAAACAGATTTGGATTCTTAGGTTTTAAACCTAAAATTGAGTGACTTATAAAATAAACAAAAAGTCTGAATGCATGAGGCGAAAAGTAATACAAGCACAATAAACCAAGCTAAAGTAATATAAGTCTAAGATATTTTTGAGGAATACAGATTCATAATCACAATCAATATTGTATTTAATTAAAACATCAATAACTTGCAAAACACTGTATACATCAACAATCTTTCAGTATATATTGCTATCTTCAAATCTGATTTTTGTACCCTGAATGTAAAGATATACAAGTTACAAAACCTTGTCCACCAGTGTAATTACAGTATTTTACATGCAAAAATAATTGAAACAGTCACGAAATAGGCACAACAAGTAGCCAGTTGAAAGTATTCCTTGCTTACCTGTTGTATAAAAAATGGGGCATATGTTAACAAAACAAAGGTTATTTTTGTCTAATTAACATCTACTACCTCATCATAATTTATGGTGACAAAGTGAAACAGGTTCAGATAAAACATGCTATTTTCCCTCTAAGAAATTAATTTATATATTTTGAAAGGCCACAGTTACTCCTATTATCAATTCATATTACTTCCTAAGCATTTATGAGTTTCCGATATAGATATCACTAATTATAAATTAATCAAGACTCATTCTTATTGATTAGAAAATGTTACTAAGCAATATTTAACAACCTTAATTTCACTGATGCATTCATTTCACTGATGACAAGTTTGAATACTTTTCTAGTTGTCAGAAGATTATGTTTTAGTAGGTCACAACAAGTTTAACAAAACAACTATGGCTTGCAACAGATGCGCTGTAAACTCTGAGTACTGGCAATAATCCCATGGGTATTATGGCCAGTACACAAAATACCCAAGTTTGGATACCATTTTACTGTGAGAATTTTTTAACAATAAAGCCTTCCAAAACAAAATATGGAGGTTGACCTTTGCCACATTTAATAAATTATTTAAGTACAGGTTATTACACACTCCAGTAATAAAAAAACAATGAGAAACAAAAATAAAAATGGTAATGAACTATTCATTTCCTCAACATAAAACTAATCTTTTAAATAATTTAATAAACTTGAAAGAATTTTCTTTCTTATAATAGGATCCCAGTGACAACTAGAGAAAGTAAAACACTAAATCATAACATATTGCATAAGTTATTTTTGGTTACTTAGATATTCCAATGAATTAGGTGGATACCTTAAATGCTGTATTTACTATAAGTATATGTTACACTTACTGTAAAAAACCTACATTTGTATTTCGACAATTATATTGGTGTAAACAAAAGTTGGTAAATCTATACTGATATTATAAAGAGGAAAGATTTGTACCTATTTTTGTATGTTTGTAACAAATAGGCTCAAAAAGTAGTGGACCGATTTAAAAAATTTTTTCACCAATAGAATGCTACATTCTTTCAATTTAACATAGGCTAAATTTCATTTTGAATAACATTAGGGGTCCTTGGTAAAATTTGAACAATGTAACCGAAGGAGTCTTAACTTGTCGAGTACCGTCATTATAGACACAATTATAGATCAATAGCTTGTGGTTACCGGTGACCGCTTGGTGTTTGACAGTTTAAAATGTCTTTCGTCGAATGCGCTGCCCAAACTATTAGCGATAGAACAAAATAATGTACAACAATATTGAAGAATATCATAATGTCTACAAAAAACTCTGCGGTAACATATGTCCAACTATTGTAGTTATGTCACTACAACAATCCAAATTTCCAAAACTAAATAACTGTCTACCCCGTGTGAAGCCAGGATGGGCATAAATAAATAAATAAAAATTAATACCTTCCTAAGACAAGCATGCAGTTGTGGTTTTTGTTATATTAGATGTATATTTATTTATAAAGGGTTTTATCTGCAAAAAGCTAAGATGGTAAAATCGTAAGATATAATAAACAAAAAAATGTGTAAAATTGTCTAATAAAAATATTTTAATAAAAAACTTTACATTAGAACCTTATTTTATAGTGACATAATGTCATTGATCATGACTTTGTATTATTTACAATCTCCATAGATAAAAGATTGTAAACTCTTGTTAATTCAAAATATTTTCATAAACTGATGATTCTAAATCTAACTTAGAAAGTAAGTATATTATGAAGAAATAAGGACTTAAAAAGATTTTTGTACTAGTTTAATCAACAATGTTAATTATTCTATTACCACATAATAGGTAACATAAAGCTTTTGAAAAGGAATAATATAAAACACATGCATAGTTTATATGAAAATACTTGAAAAGACAATCACAATTTTCCCTGTCAAGATAATTATTTATATCTTACTTGTATTGCTTGTTCTAACTATAGAAATAAGACCCTTTTTTTTAGGTAATGTAAATAATCACAATGCTTAGGTACTAGATTTATTATAAAATGTTGACACATAACATTATGACACAGTTTATTTGATGTAAAAAGGGTAAAACAAGTTATTATTATGAAATATGCAGGATATCCTTGAACATGTACTCAATTTACTGTACAATGCTAGTGCTCCACAATTATTCAGTTTTGAAAATAAATTAGTTAATATAAGTAGTAAATAAGCGTGCACAAACATTTAAATTGCATACTCATGCTCACCATACACCAGATAAAGTAAATTAATTAATATTTTTGACAGAACTGTTATCCTTCGCCATTTTCACCTACCTACTTTATTATTACACACACATTGTTACAAATATTTTAATAACGAAAAAAATACGAATACTCAAAGACCAATATTATTTGCATAAGATAAAATATCGGAAAAATTAACTATCGACGACAATAAGTTCCTACTTTACACAAACTAAAATCGAAAAATGGCAGCAGAGATCGACTTACCTCAACTTCAACGGCTACTGCCGTATTTGTTGGTTTGTGGTCTGAATTTGTGTGCTGGTCATTTATTAGATTATGTAGAAGTTTCGAATCTTCAGTGGAAATATTGGTGGCACTTTTGTCCGGGGCTTTGGGTTCCTTATCATACTCCGGCGGAGGAGCCATCTTGAAGGAAGAGCAGTCAGATGACACAAGTCGTATGACTTTCGCACACCGAAATCACTCTTTTCCCCGACAAAATGTCTTTTCCACTTACTAGCTACTAAATCGAATCATGATGAGTAATTTAGCTACAACATAATGAAAGTTCTAACCATTTGCAAAAACGGATTCATCATTTTCGACAGATTCCGACCAACATTTTTAACGACTACAAGAACGCCCTCTGGTGACGTGAATTTGAAGATTTGGTACAGACTATACACATTTATAATTTGACATAGACTCTACATGCCAGTTTGAAAATTACTTATGTAAAATGTTAGATTTTATTTAGATTTATTAAACTTGCCATAGCTGTCGTCACTGTTAGTAAGCGAGACAGTAATCTAAATATTCATATAGTAGAACCAATTAAAATCCTCAATTAGGCTTATGTGGCATATTGGCAGAAATTGACAGCCAAAGTCAACAAGATATTTAAATTTTTAAATAAAAAGTGAATTATTGTTAAATTTGTACTCGAAAGTGTGTATTATTTTCATCGAGACGTGATTGTGTTTATAAAAATGAATTTAAAGGCGAAATACAAGTGGCCTGTCTGCTGCATACTTTAAATCTTTCTATGCGTTGACTTCTATCTGCTTCGACGTGCTGACAAATTTGACTCATTGTCGAAAAACGATTCTAACCGTCGTCAGAGGTTAAGCATTGCCATACAACGTGGCAATGCTGCCAGCCTTCTGGGTACTTTCCCCACTGACGTCGATGCGGACGAATTTTTCGATGCCTTATAAATAGTTTATTTTTCCTATAATTAATTTTAATCATAAGTTGTATATATTTAATTTAGTAATATTTAGTTTTAATTTTATTTATGGAATAGTTGTTATTTAAGTTTTTTATTCACAAAATAAACTGTCAGGCTTAAAAAAAAAAAAAAAAAAAAAAAAAATTAAAATCAGTCTATGGGATTAAAAAACTTATCTGTCAAATACAGTTTTGTTTATGATTCAGTCATTTACTGCTACTCATTTTCATTTCATTTGACATCAATCATTTTGCTGTGGGTGAATATACGTTTTTGCCAAATATTATTCTGAGGATTTGTTTTATAATCCCGCTTTAATAATGACTGAAAGTCAGGAAAATATTTTCCTCTTCGTTCCTAACATTATTGGTTCGTATGGTTACTATAAACAGTTTTTTAAGTAAATTCGAAATTGCGCATTTTCATCCTATTGTTGTTGATGTTGTTTCAGGTTTTGGGAGAGTAATCCTTGCAATTATATCCTTTTATTTTATGCCAACACACTGTATTTTGGCGTGTGTTTGCTATGTTACTTCTGCCTTATTGGACGCTATCGATGGGCATGCCGCAAGATACTTTAATCAAAGTAAGTGCTTTATAAGGTATCATATAATTCAATTACTTATCTGGTTTTGTACCGAGTGGTAAAGCCGGTACGAGATAATATTGATAATCTTACTAAGTTGGCAAATAAATAAGTTCTAGGCATGCCGCCTCGATATTTTATTTGTTGAGCCAACATATTCTGAGTATTGTAGATATTACAGATATGAGTATGTGGGCTAATATTAGACTAGGGCGTTTGCGTATCTTTCCGCAAATGTGTGCAGTTTATGCATTCTGAATTTCTGACCTATATTTCTCATTTAGAAGGCTTTGAACTTAGATTCTAGTTAGACTTAGTAAAACAATATTAGTATTATTACAGTATTTTACATAAATCATGCTCAATGGGTAAACTTGTGTTTCAGGCACGAAGTTTGGTGCAATACTGGATCAACTTACTGACCGTGCGGGCACTGCTTGCCTCATGATGACCCTGGCAACATTTTACCCACAGTACACATTCTGGTTCCAAATATCCATGGCAATTGACATCACATGCCACTGGCTGTACCTCCACACCGTGACCCTGCAGGGCAAGGCCTCCCACAAATTCATTGACATGTCTGAGAATCCTGTCATGCGTATCTATTACACAAACAAATTGGTTCTCTTCTTCATGTGTGCTGGCAATGAAGCGTTCTATGCAGCTCTCTATGTGATGTACTTCTACAGTGGACCTACAGGTAGGATTTATAAATTATTTTCAATCTTATGTTAATACTAGCTACTTCCGCGTGGTTTCACACGCTCTGCTCAGCTCCTATTGGTCGTAGCGTGATGTTTTATAGCCTATAGCCATCCTCGATAAATGCTCTACCCAACACAAAAAGAATTATTCAAATCAGACTTGTAGTTACGGAGATTAGCACATTCAAACAAACAAACAAAAAAACAAACTCTTTCGCTTTATATAAGATTAGTCAGTCTGTAAATAAAAATTTTAAGTCATGAAACAAGAGTAATGTATGAATTATTTGAAATTTCAGTTCTTGGAGTTGGCCTGTACAAGCTGATTGCTATCATCTCAGCACCAGTAGCTATTGTGAAGGCTGGAATATCAGTTCTGCAGGGTGTTGTTGGGGCCATCAACTTGTCTACTATTGATATCAATGAGCGGGCTGCTCTAGCTGCTAAACAAAAGAATTAAACACAATACAATTAGGTCACAAGCAGAATGTTATACTATTCAAAGAATTTAAATACCCGATTTGAATTCAATTTGATTCCAAAAAATATTTGCATAATAAAGTTAACTGTTAAAGTAAAGCTAGTCACCCAAGAATTTACATTTAAGTACTATGAAAATCCTGCTTTTTATTTATTTTATTGTTACCAAAAAAGATGTTTTATTGTGAAAATCATGGTTTGCCTATTTATGTTGTAAGCACTTCAAGTTGTAATACTGTCAATGTAACTGGTTTGTTTTTATTTTAATTAATAATTATGCAAATATATGTTTTTATAATAACTATCGTGAGATATACTAAATTAACTAAGCAATTCAGTGAGCTCATTGAGTCAAATTAATTCAGTGAGCTGCGCGACGTCGCCGCGACTGCGCACGCTGCTCATGAGGAAGAACCCCTCTGTGGTTCGAAACTAGTAGATTAGATGTCACTTATAATGTTGACTAACTCTGTTATTTATTTGTTTATTTATAATTATGTTAATTCACTATGATTTTATTGTTGAAGCACATGTATAGTTTGCGAATCTCCATTTAACGTTGCGAATATTAAAAATACCTTCTTCATTGAGGTCCTATTGTCGTCTTTGTAAGCTTGAACAAAAATAATATTTTATGGTAATGGTAGTATGTAAATGGTTTGATGTGAATGTGATGTCTTAGTGGTGCAATTATTATGTTGAAGTAGTATGTAGTGTCTAATTACTGATGTAAAATTTAAACTTCCACTATGGATATTTTTTTTTTAACTGTTTGTAATCTCTACCTGAAAGATCAACATAATTAATCCAATCGCATTTATTATTCCAAGATTAATGGATTTTATTTTTAGATACCTTTTTATATATTCTTTTCATTTATATTTACATTCCATCCAATATGATAATCATCCTATTTGTATAAAACACAGGCTTATATTACTTTATTTTGGTAAAAGCATATTACAGCAGTAAAATATGATAACATTTATCTCATTTATGATTTACTTTGCAACTTTATGATAGAACAGATAAAAATATAATCTAGTGGTGCCAATATTGTTTAGAAAACTACAAGAAACTGATTGTAAAGAAAGTTTAATTGAATTTATAATATTCTTGAATTGTATCAGTCTGTTTTCTATTGATTTTGGAAGTAAATAAACAAGTGATAGAAATGTGAAGTTACACACAAGCTAAGTGGTAATTGACAATAGTCTAATCTAATTTATATTACGTAACTATTTATTCTAATTGCAAATACCGAAGACTTGCAAGTAGTCAAAAGGAATTACTTTTTATATGAGCAACATAAAAGAGATAAATATGCATATTAGAACGCATTTTTATGAACAAATCTCTTCATTGCAATAGAACATTCATATATATTTTATGACATCATCACAAACTAGTTGGTCATTATGTTGGTATATTGTATGTAGGTGTACTTCCAAGTTCATAATAATAATAATAATATTGCACCTATGTATATTCTATAATCGATCTCTGGGCGAAATCACTGATATGATAAGAGTAATTTATAAATCTATGGGCGAAATATATGAATAAACAAAAGGTATTTACTTTATCAAAAGTGAAATGAATTTGTTGTACAATCTGGTAGGCTGAGCCTAATATTATGTTTAATAATTGATATTTGTATATTATGTGTTGACCCTAATAAAAGTAAAAAGTAATCTTGTTTTTAATTTTATGGTTGAATGAAACAAAATATTTATTAGTAAGAATTTTATTTCATTTTTTAGAAGTAAAGCAAATAATATAGTATATTGTGAAGGCCCCAATGTTGTTACTTACTGAAGCAATATTAAAAATAACACTTTGTAGTGAAGAGTGAATAATACTAAGAATTAATAATTATTTGAAAAATAATAGTTAGCATTATAGCATAAACTTATCATGGTTAAAATAATGTTAAATTATCCTTTCAAACTGCTCATTCCTGCTCTCATAATCTCATCAACAAGGAGGAGGTTGCTGGCAATAACGGAACAGGAGTTGACGATTTGTTTCTTAACAACATAGTTGTCAATGATGCCCAAGTCGGTTGGTTTGATAGCTTCGCCAGTGCTCAAGTCGAGGCCAATGGGATCAGGGCTGAGGCGCGACTCTTCCTGAAGCTTCACAATAGTGTCTTGAGCATCATAGCCTGAATTGATAGCTAAGGTTTTGGGGATTACTAACAGAGCTTCGGCGTAAGCCTGGATACCTAGACGTGCTTTTCCTTTGACAGTGTCCTTGTATTTCAATAATTCCGTGTTGGCTTTAATCTCAAAGGCGCCAGCGCCGGGAATAACACACTTGTCTTCAATAGCATTGTTGATAGCCCTAAGGCCGTCACGGACGGCATCCTTGATTTGTGCAAGAGTGTGCTTGTTGGGGCCCTTGATAAGAATAGTTACAGATTGGGGATTCTTGCACTGCTCTACAAAAGTATATTTCTCTTCACCAAGAATATGCTCGTATACAAGACCAGCATAACCCAGGCACTCCTCATTAAGGCCATCAACAGAGTTCATGGCGATGCCACCGCATGCCAGAGCCAGACGCTCCATGTTACGTCTCTTAGCCCTGCGTAATCCCATAATGCCCTCCTTGGCGAAGGCATCGAGGGAAAGAGGGTCAATACCTTTCTGGTTGATAACAACAAAGTTCTTGTCAGTGCCCTCACAAACCTTTTTCTTCAGAGCAATAATCTGTAACATAATATAGTACACATTAAAAATAAATATTTATGTCTGCAAAAGAAATAATTACAATATACATCAAAAGTTTTTCAGTATTTTTCAAAACACTCTAGATTTTATAGATATTTTTTGTAAAATTTCACTGTACTGATTGCAACCTGTTGCATATTAGACTAAAACTATTTGTGATTCCCTGAAGAATAATAGCATTAAAAATGTTTACTTACAGCCTTAACTCTCTGGTCAATGAAGTCACGTTCAGCGGCTACTAACTTCTCTCTGTCCTCAGCAGATTTGTAGAAGAATCCAGAATTAACTTCAGTCTTCTCATACTCGAGGGAGATGTTGCAAGTGAGGATGTAGGCATTCTCAACGCGTTTTGGCATGTCAGGGTGGCGAGTGCCGTGGTCCATCACCAAACCTGTAATAATTGACATTCGAATTTAAAAACAACAAATCTAGGAATAAATTATTATAATTATTAACATATAAGAAATGAAATAATGAAAACTGAAAAATAGCTTATTCAAACAATATGTTGAGTCTCGAAATTACCTTTGATGAGGGTGGTCTCCGTTGCAGTCTTGTGTTGCATCTCCATGATCTCCACCATATGTAGGTCAGCTGGTTTCTCTGGCACACGGATAGTGAGCACTGCATCCACACATGCATCAGTCAACACTTCAGCTAAGCTTGCGTGAACCTACAACACAAAACAAAAACATTATTTATGAGTCACAGAGTTTAGTCCAATTATACAACAAAACCAATTTTAATGTTCATGTTTGAATGTAAGAATCAACATCATTCAGTCAGATAGTTTGAATAGCAACTATACCAGTAACTCAATCAACACTATGTAGTTTTAGTATGAAATTTATAAGCTGTGTCAGACATACCTTAGTCTTAAGAGATGTCCTCGCAACATCAAGTAAATCTGATCGCTTTACTTCAATGGGAATCTTGATTGATTCAAGAACTTCCAAAGCCTTCACTCTAGCTACATCAAAACCTTCTGTTAGGATCCTCGGGTGCAAACCTGTGTAGGAAGTAATTATATAAAAATAAATATCATTGAAAAGTACTCAACAACTTCAATTTTAAAAGATGGTCAATTGTAATAATACTATGTGTTTTAAGAAACTCAAAGTTTTGGTGAAGGATTAAGATACTGTTTCATATTTATTTGGTTTATCTAATAAGATTCATACCTTCACTAATGTAGATATCAGCTTGCTTCAGAAGCTCTCCAATGAGGAGCACGGTAGAAGTAGTTCCATCTCCAGTGGCATCGTCCTGGGCGGTAGAAGCGCGAGCGATAAGGGACGCAGTTGGATGCTGGATCTGCATCTCGTGAAGGAGCACATTACCATCTTTAGTGATTTTTATGTCACCAGCACCAGAGACCAACCTGAAAAATAAAATTGTTCATAGTTATAATATAATTAAGAAAGCTACAAGCTTTTATCATGCTCCTGAAGTACAATACACAACATTTTTTTAGAAATCCTTATCTTGTGGTATGTGAACTTAAAAGTCGAGATCATATGACTTTTTCAACGAGAATTTAACTACCTAAAAATTTAATTACACCTATGAGCAAAGAGAAACAAACTTTCAGAAGCTGAAAAAAAGCATTTCCAATTACTTTTGAAGCAAGATTCAATGTAATAACAGAAAAAAACTATACATTTTCATTGTTCCTTTAGGACCGAGGTTAGTTCTCATCACATCTTGGATTCCTTTTGCAGCAGAAATGTTTACGGCCAGTGCTTGGGAAGCCCTCGCTAATTCAGCTTTGGGATTAAGTAAACTGATTGCTGCCATTTCTATATCTTATTCTTTTACAATTTGTGGAAACTGAAACACGCGGATATCCCAATAATTTGGGAAGCAGAAAAATGTAATAACGGATTGTCTATGGTTAATGATGATGAATTGAATGACTAACTTCTCAGTTCTTTGTCTACGTTCTCAGTATATATTGTATAGTCTATGGACTAAATTACTGGATGAATGAATGAAGGAACGAACTTTATGCATGCCCCTTTTTTAGACAGAGTTACCAGCATTTTTGGAAAAAAATACTAATTTTAGATTCTAGGCAAGCTGTGAGTTAGCAATTATATCAAAGGCTAAATTTCTGATTAATCTATTCTGATTTATTGTATTGATATAATCCTTCTTAGTTTACTATCAATGGCAGCATGATAAATAATCTATGAACTAAGATTCCATGAAACATTTTTGTTTTTAGTTAAAATTGAAATTGACATAAAAAAAAATTATACAATATTATAACGATATCAATTTGATAAACAGCATATTATGCATAATACTATGTTCTTATTTTAAAATAAAACTCTTTTATAGAGGTGTTCCCGTTTTTATACACATATGGTTCATAGTCATAGATTAGTCATTGCTACGTTCTAAAACTTGGTTCTAAGTTTAAATAAGCACTTACTACTCAAACTTCAACATTGTTCTCGAAATTATTAATGTACAAAAGTAATTTGGACCTATTAACTTGATACGAGAACTAAAATGTTTTATTATTGTACATTAACCAAACAAGTTATATTTAAAAGATTGGTGTTTACATTAGATTATTGTTAGTAAAGATTCCAAGCTTCAAAATGTAGCTGTCACGGATCAAATACCTGTCTGTGATTGCTGCCGTCTTTTCAAGCGGTACGAAAATAAATATCTATTTTAGTTCCTATAAGCATGGGTATTTGAGAGAGATGAACATACCAGACTTTACTAGAACAATCGTTAAAAGTGTATAAAAGGGTTACGGGATCAACACACTAATATATCGTTTGATAAACTTGAAGATAAAACAATGGGAGTTCACAGTGAAGAAGCGGAATCCTATAAGAATAAGGGAAACGAAGCCTTTAAACTCGAAAACTATGAAGAAGCCATATCCCTTTACAGTAAGGCTATCGACCTCGCTGAGAAAGACAGCCGTGATCTGTCTACTTACCTAAAGAATCGAGCCGCAGCCTTTTTGAAAATCAAAAATTATGAAAAGGTTATCAAGGACTGCGATGAAGCCCTACGAATTGTATCGGAAGACCCAAAAGCCTTATTTCGACGTTCACAAGCCCTGGAATCTTTGGAACGATTTGAAGAAGCATACCGTGATGCTAAAGCTATATTTACCGTAGATCCTACTAACAAGGCAGTACAACCAGTACTGTCGCGGCTACATGCTATAGTACAGGAGCGCGCCAGGCAGAGTGCTCAAACCAGCAACAAAGTGGAACAAATGTTCAAACTTGCATTTAACTTGCAGGAAGATCTTGAAAAACGTGAAAAAGCTATGTCTAACCTCCTGGTGCTTGCAAAAGAAAATGCTGGTGCAGAAATTATGTTAAAAAATGGTGTAGTTCACAAAATACAACAACTACTTAAAGTTGAGAAACATGCTGAAATATACATTAATGCAGTGAGAGTCATTAGCCAACTTTGCAAGAGAGATGTTGAAAGAACAAAAGCAGTGATCAAGATTGTTGGCATACCCTGGCTGCTGGAAGTCATAGATAGTGAAAATGAAGAAAGGGTCAGTGCAGCTCAGTATTGCCTGCAGGTTTTACTTAACACATTTTCTGGAATGGATAACAAAAAAGACTCTACACCAGACCCAAAACTCTGTGAAGAATACAAAAGTGAAATAGATACTCTACTTACTTGTTTAACTTACTCAATAACAAACAGAGTTATCAGTGGACAGGCAAGGGATGCCATTGTTGAGTTAGTTATGAGAAACTGCCATTACAGTGCAATAAACTGGGCTGAAAGATTTGTTGAAATCAAAGGACTGCAGCGGCTGCTTGAGGTTTGCAGTGAATTAGAAGAGTACAAATATGAATCAGCATTAAACATTACTCCCTCTTCTAGAACCATAGCTGCTGCTTGCCTGGCACGAATCTATGAGAATATGTATTATGATGAAGCCAGAGAAAAGTTCAATAACCAAGTAGATGACTTTGTGAAAGATAAGCTAATGTCACCGGATTTGGAGTCAAAAGTAAGAGTTACAGTGGCCATTACTTCTTTGCTAAGGGGCCCTTTGGATGTTGGAAATTATATAATTTCAAAAGAAGGTATTATTGAAATGATATTGGTCATGGCTCAAACTGAAGATCCTCTTCAACAAAAAGTAGCTTGTGAATGTTTGGTGGCTGCAGCATCCAAGAAAGATAAAGCTAGAACTATTATCAACAAGGGTGTAGACATTTTGAAAAAGCTATATCAGAGTAAAGATGATGCAGTTAGGGTGAGAGCCTTAGTTGGTCTTTGTAAAGTGGGTAGTTTTGGAGGAGATGATGCATCTGTGCGACCATTTGCTGATGGTTCTACTAAAAAGTTAGCTGAAGCTTGCAGGAAGTTCCTTGTTAATCCAGCTAAAGAAAATGATGTCAGGAAATGGGCTGCAGAAGGGCTTTCTTACTTGACCTTGGATGCTGATGTGAAAGAGAAACTGGTTGAAGATAAAGCTGCCCTGTATGCCCTTATAGAACTAGCTAAAAGTGGTGATCAATCTTGTCTCTATGGTGTTGTTACCACATTGGTCAACTTATGTAATGCTTATGAAAAACAAGAGGTCATGCCAGAGATGATGGAGCTGGCAAAGTTTGCCAAACATCATATACCAGAAACACATGAATTGGATGATCCAGATTTTATTAACAAAAGGATAACTGTATTAGCTAAAGCTGGTGTAACATCCGGTTTGGTTGCCCTGGCTAAAACTGAGAGCCACAATTCTAGAGAATTAATTGCACGAGTTTTTAATGCCATCTGTGGCTTACCAGAACTCAGAGGTATAGTTGTGCAACAGGGTGGTGCAAAAGTGCTAATTCCAATGTCACTTGAAGGCACTAACAATGGAAAAAAACAAGCATCTCAGGCACTAGCACGCATTGGAATAACAATCAACCCAGAAGTAGCTTATCCTGGTCAGAGGAATTTAGAAGTTGTTAGACCTCTTGTAGGCTTACTTCACCCTGACTGCACAGCTTTGGAGAATTTTGAAGCTTTGATGGCCTTATGCAACCTTGCTGGAATGAGTGAATCTACGAGGAATAGGATATTGAAAGAAGGTGGTCTTGCTAAAATTGAACATTATCTATATGAAGATCATGAAATGCTGCTAAGAGCAGCGACACAGTGTATTTGTAATCTAGTACAATCTGATGATGTTATCAAAACCTATGAGGGCAATAATGACAAAACCAAATTTTTGTATCTCCTGTGTCAAGAGGAAGACACAGACACAGTGATGGCAGCTGCAGGGGCTTTATGCATACTGACATCTGCAAGTAAAATATGTTGCAGAAAATTACTGGATGTCCAAGTATGGCCAGAAACACTGAGGTGTCTATTAGCAAATCCAAACAAGGAGATCCAGTACAGAGGAACATACATGCTTTACAACATCATTTCTGATGATAAAGATGTTGCTGCTAAAGTGTTTGAAACAGACATTATGGAGATATTAATGGCTATCACAAAATTAGAAGACCCAGATGTGAAGAGGACAGTTGAAAATGCTCAGAAATGTCTAAATGCTGCTGAGGAGATGGGAGTTATTAGAAAACCTGATGAAACAGTTATGGTTGATCCATTCAAAGAAGCAGAAGCAGAAGGCATTGAAGAAGAAAATATGTAAGAAACAATTATCTACTCTAGATACATACATTTAACACTCTAATTCTTATGATGAGATTATTATGTCAAATATTTTCATATTGACCTTTCATTTGGGTATGTGTGCGAAACTTAATATCCCAAATACATAATTAAATAAACTGTTTCTCAAATTAAATTTTCGCCAGAATATTATTTATTAATAAAAATAATTTAATCTTATAGTTTATTAGTTTATAATTAGTTATTAGGGAACTAAGACCACATGAAGCCAGGCTGGGATGCTAGTGCTTAATAAAATTAAATTGAATAGAAATATTTGATGTTATGCCATGTTGTATTTGCTATCCTTTATAATTTAGGTATTTATTAATGACTGTACTTAACTATAATTTTTAATAGTTTCCTTTATTATTATATAATGTTATGTTTTTACCTTTTATAGAAATAAACTTTTTTACTATGAATAGATTTATTATTTATAAGAGTCATACTGAGGCTTTTAACGACATGGAAAAATATTAAGGGCATAACAAAACTATGAAGAATGTTACACTAGGTGTAGGTGTAGCATTAGGTAATCTACCATTAAGAACCCTACACACTATTTAAGGTGAAGGGAAACTCGCCAAATACTGAACTGATAAAAGGGAATAATAATAATTTGCCCTATCCAGGTGTTCGACCCGAAATGTAATATGGTGTAATGATTTGTAACTACGCTCAAGAATATTCAAACGCCGCCCGCGCATAGTTCGCAAGCTGCGTATTCGCCAGATCGGGACGCACCATAATTAGTAACCCAACGATACCTCATCCATATTAATTTGTACTCTATGGCTACATGGCTATTATGTCAATCAGAAGCAGAACTTCGGAAGTGAATCCGAATAGACAAACCCCAGTCAGTTTGTCGGACCATAAAGCATAGAGACCTTCTCACTCAATGGTCAATGGTCAATGGTCCTACTTAGGAAGAGGGCGCCACAGAAACGGAAGGTAAAATTGATGAAGTCTTTCTTTATTCTGAAGTTGAAATCTTGTAGTTTTAAGCCAAAATTTTAATAGTCTGGAAAAAAAATGTTCCAGTACATTTTAAAATACTTACTGGAGTAACAATTATCTGCAGCAACAGTACCAAATATTTTATCATTCTTATATGTAATAAGTGGTATTTCGAACTTTACCGAAATAAAATTAGAATAGCAAGGAATGGAGGAAGATGATAAATGGTAGGTATTTACGTAGAATTCAATTTTTATTACATGTGTACCTACTAGGTATCTATTTAAATATGTAGGTACTTTTTAGGTAAAAGAAACCAACTTGTAGGACTCATCACTTTGGCTTCTAGTTATTCTCGCAAGAGCAACAGGTTCTGTATTCGCAATCAAGTTAGATGACATGTTCACAATAATGTTTTAATTTCAATGAATACGTAACTACATTTCGAAATCCACCCTATACTTGAGATTCTCATGCCGCTACACATGCAAGCTTACTTTTGAACCATTTTTGTAAAGAAACGGTCTTTAAAATTACCGCTATAAGTTCTTATTTTCGGAAGGATATTTTCTGTTCTTGTAGAAATGTTATTGTATGCACCAGTTGGTTGTAAAATTAAAATAATAATTAAATGAGAAAGTTAGAACGAAAGGTTTAGGATGTCTCTTTGTAAGATATGAGCAAAAGTATAAAGCATAAATAACACAAAATATACTAAATTAATGTATTATTTTCAAATTAAAGTTCATTTAAATTATAAATAAAAATTTTAAAATTCCCGCATATTTTTCAATATTTCTCCACTAATGTACCGCGTCCTTCCCCCACCGAAATCCCTCCCTTTCCCACCATTTTTATTTAAAGGTTATTTAATAAGTCACGATGCCGCCATTTTCTATTTCATCGATTTAAAAACGAGAAACTGTATATTAGACCAAGTTTCAGTCACAATTCATAATTTTATAATATCGTTATTTATAATTAATAAACAGTGAAGCTTAATTTCTCTCATATAATTAAAATTAATAATAACGGTTCTTAGTCTGCTACGGAACGTGACATATTAAAAACCTTTTGAAATGACAGCTTGATTTGGTTTGGTTTCCGCTACTGTGCTATTGTGCTATTTTTCGGTTTTTAATACGAAATTCGCCAGAAAATGTCAATTTCTACAGCTACAGGTATCTATCTCAATACAGGGCATAATTATTTCTATAAATTGTTTATAATCTTTACGTGTTTACTATCAAACCTGATAGAGTTGTTTTTTCGGAGAAATGCCATGGAATCCCATATGGCGGTCCATACTCCACATGATATAATGACGCTATATGATAAATGAAAATATATTTTTTCAAGAATCAATTCATAAATGCTGAAATTGAAATGCTAAGCAGCAGTTTATTGATGCGATCGTAAACGTTAAGGTTACTACGATATCTAGATTTTACTGGTCTTTCTAGCGTCTCCGTAATTGCCGGACGCTCACGGTTGCCAATATGAGTTAACTTTTAGTTATGTCACATAGTTGTTACCATTTACTACGTCAAATAGTTTTGATTTGTGCAATAACTTGTACTGTTAGTAGCTACTGATCAAACGAGTTAGTTCAACGATTGTTTTGATTGTTTGTTTTATCTATGACTGACATTTCTTGCAGACGAACGCACGGAAGGTGACGACGATACATCACAAGGAAGCCAGCCTAAAGATGACAGCAGTGACTCTGAAAATGAAAATGAGCCTCAGAGCCAAAATGGAGGCTCTCCTGCCCCAGAGGTTCATGAAATTACTAGTGACGACGATGAAGATTGTGTAGTGACTAATGATGACGATGATGATGATGACAGTTCTAATTCAAGTACAGACAGTAATGAAAGTTCAGATGAATCACAAAGTGAAAACAAAAACATGCAAGAGAAAAAAATCGAAGAACAACATCTTGAAAATGGTGGAGATGAATCAGATATTGAAGAGGTATCTGTGGAGGATCCCTTGAATGAAACTCCCTCCAATAAGAACAAGCCTATTGTAGTCAGCGACACTAGAAGTTTGGCAGACTTGGCAACTAAACAATCAAAATCAAACGGAGATCAGAATAGTGAACCAACTGTAGTTATCATAGATACAAATTCTATATTAACTACCAAACCACCAGCATCAGCACCTAGCAAACCCACCTCTACAAGTGCACTGGATGCACACAACTTATGTCAGAGTATTGCTGCCCGTGGTACTACCATTACTCCTGTCAGTGTGAAAAATGCCAGCAACAATAGTAACACTCAAACACCAGCACCTCTACCAAACATACTGCCTTCCCTCACTGATGATATGTTTGTTGTTGAAGCACCTTCCTTCATAGTTCCCTACGTATATGAAAAGCCCTCTGTAAAACCGTTTAGGGAATTTGTAGACAAGTTGGGGAAAGAATTGGAAGAACTGAAAATAAAGGAAGAACAGGAAAAACTTGAAAAGGATAAGATTGAAAGAGAGAGGAAGGAAAAAGAGAGGCAGGAAAAGATTGAGAGGGGAGAGCTGGACGAAGAGGATGAAACTAGTGATAATAAAAGTGCGGATGATTCAATCAAGGATAAAAAAACAGAGAAAAAACAGAAAAGGAGGCGTGGCCAAGAAGAAGATGATGACTCCTGGGATGGGGAATCTTCGTCAGACTCTGAAGGCACTGATGATGATGCTGTTGTCATTAAGGACAGAGATGACACTATTGATCTTAAAGATCCAATCAGCTTGATTGCTAAAGGACTTAGTGGAGGTAAACCAGACAGCTATTTTGACTGTTCTCTTGGTCAATTTTTTATCAACGTTGGTTTGAACTTAGTTCAAGAATATGTACAGAGTGACCTACTCAAACATCAAAATCGAAAATTATACAAGGAAAAGAAAACAGGCAAAAGCACAAAGGCTACTGAGGCAGCTATAGCATCACTTACTCAGAACTTAGAGTTCAGCAAAAAGACAAATGCTCCTTATACTCTTGTTCAGAGACGATGTGAGTTTTGTAGTTTTAAGACAGAATCCATGCTCGTAATGGCGCATCATCTAGAGGCACCTCACATGCGAAATAACATCTATAAATGCAATTCTTGTGAATTTGAAATTCGTAGTCCCCATGATATATTGTTTCACATGGAAGCTGAGCATAATATTCGGGGCAGGCTGGAAAGAGCCCCGGCTTACCAACAGTGTGCTAATTGTCACTTTGAGGACAACAGTAAGACTAAATTAGCGCGGCATCTTATTGCTTGTGCAAAGAAATTCAAACCAGATCTTAATCTGGCTCCTCCAATAGAGTGGGAACCACCTGCAAAAATACCAAAATTAACAAGGGCTCGTAATAACATGGTAGGCACTTATCAATCCAACTTTAATAGGACACAGATGAATATGAATAATCTGAGTCGGCCACAGATAAATATGGCAAATGTCATTCCCAGTATGCCTGTACTAGGCAGGCCTCGCGGTCGGCCCCCAACCACAGGTCCGCCACGTCCTCAGCCCGTGTCGGGTGTGCCGATGATACGCAGTGGCGTCATGATCATGCATAACACACCAGCGGTTGGTACCACTATTGCCAACTATCCTATGATACAAAACCAGACCAACAATGCTACACCTAAGATATCAATTACTCCACTTCCGCGAGCTCCACAACCATCATCTTCACACTCATCACAAAACTCTAAGGCAACCTTTGTGATATGTGAAATTTGTGATGGATATATCAAGGATTTAGAACAATTGAGGAACCACATGCAATGGATACACAAAGTTAAGATTCATCCCAAGATGATCTATAACAGGCCACCCTTGAATTGCCAGAAATGCCAATTTAGATTTTTCACTGACCAAGGGTTGGAAAGACATCTTCTTGGTTCCCATGGGTTGGTCACAAGTTCCATGCAAGAAGCTGCAAACAAAGGCAAAGATGCTGGTAGGTGTCCAGTGTGTGGGAGAGTGTACCAGTGGAAGCTACTTAACCATGTTTCAAGGGACCACAATATGACTTTGAAGCCTGCGCACCTGTCATACAAGTGCACAGTGTGCACAGCCACATTTGGCATGTACAAACAGTTTGAGAATCATGTCTACTCTGCTCACAGTGTTGTAGCCAAGCGTGTCATGGATAAGAGCAAGACACCTGCATCTTCAACCAAACCTGAATCAGATCCTCTACTGAGACCTCTGAAGATAAGTGATGAGATAACAATCATACCGCAACCTGCAAAGTCAACTGTTACTATCACAGCTAAAGGTAAATAACATTAATGTTGAGGGAGTGTGCAGACTGTACTAGTGGCACCCGTAGACCGACAACCCTGCTTTACCAGGATGCACATCCATGTTATCAAGCAGTATTGTGTAAATAACTTAAGCTATATCAAACTTATTTAACAATATTAAAGGAATACCAGAAGTATGGTGAAAATTAGGTAATGAATTCTTGTTGAATGGTGTCTTTAACACAAGTTGTAAATTCAGTGTATAAATCCTCTGAAAATGTATTTACCATCAGCACAACAAACAAGTTGTAACAACAGCTTTGCTGGCATTGCCCATGTAATATCAAAATATTATCATGGGTGGTGGTTTAAGTGCTATGTGATTGTTTGATTGTCACAAAGTAAATTCTGTTTAAATGGTTTTGAAATGGATCTGTAGCCTCCTCTATTGCTGTGTAGAATAAATATTATTTTGTAGGACGAAAATGTGAATTGATCACAAATCGCAAAAATTTAATAATTTTCTAATTCCAGTAAGCTCCTTGAGTATTTATTTATTTTTTCTCTCTCATGTATAATTCTTTTTGTAGCAAGCTATCAGCCTGTCTTAGAATAATTCTTATGTGAGTTAAGTTACAGAATATTTGTAAAAATATTTAGCTAGATACTTTCCATTATGAGTGTATATTATTAAATCAATCGAGTATAACAGTGTAGGTAAGTTTAGATTACAAATCGTAGACACTAATTGTAAGTAAGAACTACTGATCCGATAAATGTTTTATTTAAAATTACTACCAAATGTGCTATTGGACACTAGCAGAACCCTTACTACCGCCGTCGGTCTTATTTATTTCTGATCTCAGGTCAACAAGATGGAAGTGTTGATTTGGTAAAAGTTTACTGAATTGTTAATGTACTTATAGAACTGAAAATGATGTATTTTTTTTATTTAAATAAAAAAGACCACTGTAATTGAAAAAAATGTTTAATTATCCACATGTTAGGTACCCACCCTTGTTAGATATTACGTTTATTATAAATGTAGAATATTTATTTAATTGCTCTTGTGAACTATAAACTGATATTTTTTGGAACATAATTTAACATCGTAGATCTCTTTATACAGAAGTCCTGCAGTACCTATCTAAATTAAAATAGTGTAATCAAATAAAATACATAGCTATTAGGTACTATAGCGATTTAAATAGGTATGCTAACTTAAGTTGAGCTTTCTTTTGCGTTTTTATCTACCCTACTACTACATTGTGAAAATCCTTCCTTTGTTGCTGGGCAAGAGCTTGATGAGGGAAAAAAACCCGTTTCGTGCAGACTATAGTATCACGCCGCGTCGTTTGCCTATGTACCTGTGTATATTATATACCTACTTATGTAGGTAAATTAACTCTGTTCGCCGCCGCTAGATATCGCTAGCTTCGATATGACGCTAGCCAAGTTAGCATCCATGCCGCACGCGGCACGCCCGCCACCCAGCCATGCCACAAGCCCATGACGTCATAACGATTGCTTCCATTGCCTAATCTGCCCTCTGGCGGTCGGAAAGGTTAAAAATTTTTTGCGTTGAAACTCCTTACCACATCTCCCCCTGTCGAAACTATTGTTTGCATGGATACCATGGACTGGGCTATTGGGAGAATAGATATTCGCGAAGCTATTTGAAATGAACTGGCAGATGCACTTTTAAACACTCAGTAGGTACCAACACGTTGTCGGGCTTATTTTACGTGTCTAGCTATGGTTAGTATTTTGCTATAAATATTCCTATAGGCGCTTAGTGTTAGTTGACGGTTCCGTCAACCAACCAAACTTTTCAGCTTTATAATAAGTCAGTCATGTCGGTATATGTAAGTACCTACCTCCATGGTATATAAAGTACTATGCTGTTGTATTCCTATGATCTGGCAATCTGCGCATACCTATGTGCGGAAGCGTGATGATAAATATGTATAAGAGTATTTGCCTGAATTTGCGAGGTTCTGCGTCGTGCTAGTACCCAATAAGGTAATGTGTACTAATAGAAGTGTAACAAAAAAAAAACAAAAATAGGTATTAAATTCGGTATATTTACTTAATTGGTATTATTTGTTGGAATTGATTGAACGTTGGAATTGTTTGAACTTCATTCTGGAACTTTTTAACATTCGTCAGATTATAGGTACAAGTTACTCTTCTTAATTCCCCATGTATAGGAGGGTGGACCGGTGTTCCACATTCCTTTGTATGGTTTTTTGTCGATTAAAATGTACAACACGCGGTTAAAGTTACTAATGGAAATTCAATCCTTCCAGACGTTTACAATAGTAAGTATGTACCTACTTAGTATTCGTAGGAATACGACTATGATACTTTAATGTTTTTTTTTATTATACGCATTATAACAAAACACTGCGTTTAAAAAACTCACTTCAAAAAATCAAAGACTAGGTAATAACAAACAAAAAGTCAAAACTAAAAACCAAAAATTAACTAATATCAGAACTGATAGGTTCTCCTAGGAAGGGGGGAAAATCATTGAATGACTGTTCCCGCCTGGGTGAGGCGGGAGGGAGTGTCAGACTCTTACTAACTAAAACCACCCTGTTCCTTCTACTGCACGTCGAGCCGGAGCCCCGGTTACCCGTTAGGTTCTCCCCGAATCCGAATCGGCATAGGCCCCATCTGTGATGTTCTGATGGCTTTTTGAGGCGCGCGCGGAACGTGACGCGCTGTCCGCTCGGGATCCACTTATAGGTTACCCACCCACTGATACGTTAGAAGTCGGCGCCATATGTTCTATTCAAAACCTTAATATAGATACCTAATTTACAATTTTGTGGTCATTATAAGTTATATAATGATATATAACTTATAATAACCTATAAGCTCATATCATAATGATGATATGAGCTTATGGCACCAACTTCTAACCTATTAGTGGGTGGGTAACCTATCAGTAGGTACTAATAATAGTTATTTTTTGCTTTATAAGTTATATAATGATATATAACTTATAATAACCTATAAGCTCATATCATAATGATGATATGAGCTTATGGCACCAACTTCTAACCTATTAGTGGGTGGGTAACCTATCAGTAGGTACTAATAATAGTTATTTTTTGCTTTTAAGTTGTAACTTGTTGTTTATTACCTACTAATTTTTTGGGTTTTTGAAGTCAAACTTTAAACGCAGTTTTTATTTTATTATTTTATCATTTTCAGTGTAAAGCTACATAGATCTGTTTTGTCACTTATAATCTACCTACATAGGTGCAAAGTTCTAATCAATACAAATTATACAAACCCAAACACAAGGTAGTTACTATAAACCGTTGAAGAGTTGCTCAACAATTACACTTCTTCATCATCACACCCTTAATCATAGTCCCACTCTATCTAGGTGTTAAGTCCGCGTCAATACAAATTTATCAAAACTCAAACACAAGGTAGTTAATATAAACCGTTGAGGAGTTTTCTCGAGTGTATGTCGGCTCCATCATCAGGTCGACTCTAGACTCTTATCAAATTGTAGTGTTCAAAAATCCTAATTGAAAAACATAATAGACGCATTACTCGCCCCTACAATTTTCGAAAGTTCCCCTCGGTTTCTCTAGGATTCCATCATCAGATCCTGATTTCATGGAAATGGGACCATCTCGGGAGTATTTCCTTTCAAACAAAACAAGAATTTTGGAAATCGGTTCACAAATGACGGAGGAATCCGTGAACAAACAAAAAAAAACATTCAGCTGAACATAGTACCTCCTCCTTTTTTTTTTAAGTCTGTAGATAATAAAATGACTGTAGGTAGGTACCTACGTGTTAGCTGTAAAGTTTGCTTATTAGAGTTCGTTTTGTGTGTAATCAATAATTTCTATTTGATTCTTGATTTCTAACTCAACCCGGTTTTAAAATTTTCGTAGAGTTGTGCCTTGTGTAGCTGTATATGTACATCGACGCCGAGAGACGTCGAAGCGTAAGTACATACTTAATTAAATCACTTCACAGAACACCAACGTGGAATAGTGTCTGCGTTGCATTCCAACCTGACTACCTGAGTGAGTATCTTGACCCCAAACCGTGGTTACGTTGCCATGACATGACTCCACAAAGGTTGAGGATATTGTGGAGTTCATAAAGATAAAAGCAAAACTCCATCTGAATTCTGAAGAATGAGCAGCTGCACTCTCAACTGTCAACACAAACACAGACTAGTGGACTTCAAATCCTTTGTAGACAGGCAATAGTCAGGGACCGACCTTCATGGAAGTAACTGTCGGTACACGTACAATACTCGAGAAAGGTTCCATCAATTTCATTATGCCTCTTTTCAAAGTTTGAGAAAGTTAGCCTTTAGGTAAAGGTAGGAATGTAGGTAAGTATAGTATAACACTACATTGCATCTACCGTATTGTCTCTGCAACATCTAAAGGGTAATGGTCGACTAAAGACAATGCCCCTGGCAGTATGTTCGCTTCGTATCCACATTGTTAGTAAATAAAATAAGAGAAAAGCGGCGTGAATGCAAAGTGTAACTATGCGACGGCGGTACCGTGTGTATACGTTAATAAACAAACAAAGTTATAAACGCACAAACTTTCGAATTCATTATATATACCTCTACAGACATTACTAGCTACTTGCGCGCGTTTTCACCCGCTCTGCTCGGCTCCTATTGGTCGTAGCGAGATGTTTTATAGCCTATAACCTTCCTCGATAAATGGACTATCCAACACAAAAAGAATTATTCAATTCGAATCAGTAGTTTCGGAGATTAGCGCGTTCAAACAAAGAAACAAAAAAACAAACTCTTGAGCTTTATAATATTAGTATAGATTAAGACGCTTCATGGAAGTTACCACATGTCGTACTATTTTTAATTAACGATACTACAAGTCAAGCACTCAAGCAGAAAACCAGATCATCTCTGGGTGGGGTAAGCTAAAAAGTAGGTACTACTGTACTCTGTAGTACTGTACCTACTGTAGAGTAGCCCGCGAAAAATTTCAAATTACAAATAGTTCAATCGCTTCATTCTTTTCATCTCATAAATGATTCTCTTCGACGCTGATTCATTCATTTGACATTTCATTTTCTCGTCCTTCTTCCCTCATTCATTATTTCATTCGCATTCGTTCAACGTGGAGTGGTCGGTCGATCAAGTTGGCTGAGGTAAGATTATTTTTACTAAATAGGTAACTACTTTTGTTTAGATAAAAATATTATAATTAATTGAGGTATGACAATAAAATGAACATAAGGATTAATAATTTACTTTATTTAACCAATTTTTAATATCACGTCATAGTTTTTGTCTTACCACGTGCAACCGGTGCAACCGTTGCATTTTTCTTAATTAATTCATGTTTTATCTAAATTATTGCATATGATCATTGATTAAACTAATATCAGTCTGTCCGATTTGGGATTATGATAAAGATTTTTTACTTATGTTTACCTACCACAGCTTTACGATAAGATTATTTGGTTAGGCCATGTGGTCGGCGTGTCTTGTAAAAAGCAAACAGTATCGATTACTATAAATTGAGGTGATATCTGCTACTTGAATTATATTTATCTTGATAAAATGATGACAATAACACGAGCCGAAATGTGTTTATATGATTAACACGTGATATTAAATGATAGGCCTGATTTTAAGCCGTGACACATTTAATTGCTCTATTTATGAATAATGCTGATTATTTTATTTATTTTCATTTCAGATATCTTCATGCGGGTTATTTATGACAGGTGAGAGATGTTTTATTCACGGATGTACAAAGCTCGTCGTTCAATCATCTAAAATAGGGCAAATTAATTTTGCCCACAATTTTAAGTTCATTAGCCACATGGATGAAAATCTTCGAATTTTTATACTTATGGCTAAAGTGAATGTTTTACCGATGGACATCAAACACCATCTCCCAAAAATAATGGTTTACTAATGAACATGATAGTCCCAATGTTATGTATTTTGTAACA